AGGCGGCGACTGTCCTCCCCCGGGCCACAATGCGCCATTATTGTTATGACCAGATTAGTCCCCCGTCAACCGCCGGAACCTTCCTTTCCTGCGCAAGCTTTCTATCCTCCGCTATGGTCCCTTCCTCCTGTGCCACCAACACCTCGTGGAAGAGACGCGTATGCAACACAGTGGTGTTTCATACAGTAGAAGGGACACAATCATGATATGACGGGAGATTTTTCGCTTCCCTTCCTCATCCTCCCTTCCTCTCTCCACTGCCCTCCAGCTGCCACTGCAGCACCATGTGGAATGAACGGAGATGTGCTAAGCAGGTGTTTATATAGCCCTAAGAGTGTAGATCACAACTATCCTGCTACAAAACATTGATATCTCAAATCCTGTAAGCTACCCGATTTGTTAGCGGTTTGTTTATCCCATGAGCTTCCTTCTCACTCACTTCATTTTGCGGACGGACACACACATACATACATACACACACATACAGATACACAAACCGACACACAAAGTTAGCGCTTTATAAAATATAGAAGGATTACGAGCTTCCTTCAGCATGATAGCGCAGTGACAGTTTTACACTCGTCGACCTCGCGCTATGTGAACTTCGTTGCGAATATGTTTTTGCTCTTGTATTTTGTTACTTTTCGAATTTTCGGGGTCAACTGTTTTCCCAAGTCCCTACCACAGGAATTCAGGTGTGTGGGGTTCAGTTGACAAAGTTCGTTCCGGGCTGACCAAAATCTACCCAAACTAACTAATCCTATTCTTATCATTTGAATGTGTAGCTCAGCTCCAGGCTCATCGCATTTATCCGTTTGGTTCTATAGATCTGTTCAGAATGCCCGACGATGACGATATTATCGTCCTTGATTCTGACGAGGAACCGTCGAAGAACATGTGCCCTACGACCAGTACTACTCGATCAAACGGCGAAATCCAGTGTGCATCCGATAAAAACCTCAACGACGGAAAGAAGCCTTCAGCAAAGAAGAGCTGGGATTTTCTTATGGTGAGCGGGAGTTCTTAAGTTCGTACTATAAGGCACAGTCGGTCGTTCAACTGTAGCGATTGTAACGATCACCCAGCATTGGCTCCCAGACAATACCTAACCATTTGGGCGCGGCCGCGGCGAACGCGGCCGAGTCGATTGTGCCCGCGAACCGTTGAAAACGCACTCGAGGTGCCCGCGAACTGTGCTGTGCTGAGTTCGCGGGCACCTATCAACTCGGCCGCGTTCGCCGCGGCCGCGCCCAAATGGTTAGGTATTGTCTGGGGGCCCCCAGCATTAGATACATATCGGTGGTCTGATCGATATGTAACTAATGCTTGCGATCGTTACGACCGGACGACTGACTATGTCTACGCCTATACCTGAGTAAGAAGATGAAGAAGATCATCTCGCACAGAAGTTGCATGGAGGAGGAACTCGAGAAGAACAGGTATTCTCCTAGCTCGTATTATCTTTCTTTTTCCTTCGTTTGTCTGCTGCGTTCTGCATATCCTAATTGGAAGCAGAACGTAGAAGTCATTTGCTCTCTACTCTACAAAATTGACCCGTTAGGTGATGGCGTACATCTCTCAGAGACCTAATTACCTAGAGTTTCAGAAAACTTTATGTTCGTTTCCGGTTGTTAAATCCAGGTTAGCAGTCTTCCTTTCAGAAACCATCTACATCAAATGGTAAGTCCAACAAAAAGTCAAGTTCACCTCCTGAAACAAGTAACGAGAATGGTTGTGCCTCAAAAATTGATTCTGAAAAGAAAGGTAAAGGTGTGTTCATGATATTTTTACTTGTAGATCTCTTTATTTTTTTCTTTTCTCAGTTCATGAATCTCTTCATTTTATTTCCTCCAGCAAATCATTGCCCTTGACATCTATCCCTGGTCGATTTGCGGCTATTTTTAGTTGCTCCCAACAATGGCGTCAAAATTATGAAAGTATCGGAGTTGGAATCGGAACGTAATCGTGTTTTGAATGAAGTCTTTGGACATAAAAAGTTCAAGAGCTCACTTCAAAAGAAAGCAATTAATTGTATATTGCTCAGTGAGTTACTTTAGATTCGTTTTTGCGAATGAAAACTAAAGTTACAGTAATGGGATGTTCTACTTGTTTTCAGGGAAGGCTGACGTGTACGTTTCATTACCAACAGGTGCTGGAAAGTCACTGTGTTACCAGGTAAAATCTCAAATTCATATTCCGCTTACGATAGAATTGGCTAGAGTGAGCGACTGATTTGCAGCTTCCTGCCGTCATTCACATGGGTATTCACTATAGTCGTCTCTCCATTGATTGCACTGATAACAGATCAGGTCGCTGCGTTACGAGTAAGTTGTGTCTGATACTCGAAAGTGGGGTTTGTCTCAAAAGAAGTTCACTTGAACTTTTGTTAGCTGTTTTTAGGCGAAGGGAATTCGTTGTGATTCGCTTAACTCGAAATTGACTGCCGCAGAAAGAACTCGTATAGTAGAGGTTTGATATTGGAACAGTTCTTCTCTTGTTTGAAAGCTAAATGAAACCGCCTTTCCTCCTAGGATCTGCGAAATAAGGTGCCTACCATCAAGCTACTTTACATTACTCCAGAAGCAGCTGCGACAGACAATATGAGGAGGTATTTTTTAATTAAGTGTTTTTATAGCATTTTATCGTCAAGATGTGTGACTTTGTGAACATATTTGAACGACTTTTATCTTCCTCCCTTTTCTATTCATAACTATTGTGCATCTTATGAATGAAGTGCTTCAGAATTCTGAGTTCACTCCACAAACGCAACTTGCTCAGCTATTTCGTAGTTGATGAAGCCCATTGCGTCACACACTGGGGTCACGACTTCCGCCCTGACTACCTGAAGCTCGGTGCTCTCAAAGGATGTGTGTCCTGACGTATGTTTAGTTATATAGTAGCAACTTTTTATCCGTTTTCAGTTTTTTTCTGTATTTTCGATCATTTCTATGATTCTTTGGATGACTTTCATTCTATACTTTGCCTTATCTTGACCTGTACCAATTGGACAAGAAAGTGCTCATTTCCTTCGTTGCTCTTTATTCCCCTATCACTTCGTCTTCTCCCTCCCCTGTTTTCTACCATTGTTGCTACCTCCGTGAGGGCTTTGATGCACATCCTCGCTTCAATATCTGTGTAGAGTTCTACTTGTGAAAACACTTATTTTATAGGTTCCATGGATTGCACTCACAGCTACAGCGAATACAAAAGCTCAAGATGATATAATAGCGCAGTTGAAGCTGAAGCACGTTAGTTGCGCAGTTGCTTTTTTTCTTTACATTGGTTTTGGAAGACCTTTGAGTGTTCATCTTCCCATTTAGGTTGAAACGTTCAAGGCTTCTACCTTTCCGTGGTAATTTGTACTACGATGTATACATGAAAGATCATCTTAATGTTGCCGCCCGAGGTGTGTTGTCGCTGATTTCCCTAAGAATATGCGCAATTATGTTAAGCTACTTTTTGTGGCCCTTAACTTAATTTCCTCGGCAGTATTTGCCTTCAATAAGAGGATATGAAGCAGCTTCAATATCTATAAGGGTGAAAATAGAGGTGGAATTGGCCCCTAAGCTTTTTGGTAAGGGCCGGTTCAGTCATCCTGGAATGGCTCGGAAAAGCGATCCTTAGCCAAGAAGGGGGCCAAAGATTGAGCGTATTTCGCCGGCTCTTATCATTGTCTTCAGATGAGCATATCAAAGTTCTTAAGCTTACGCTAGCCGCAGAGCAGAATAGAATGGCCCCATCGAACTCATTTTAACCTTGTAAGTATAACTGGAACCTTCATCTGGATTGTTGTTGTCATTGAATCACTAATCAATGTCTCTTGTTTAGCGTCATTTGGCAGAGTTCATCCTCCGCTGCTTGAAAGTTCCGAAAGAGAAAGCATCTGATGTATTGAAATTCGAGAAAGGGCCTCGCAAACAGCCTGAGCGAGTGAGTTTGATCCTTATCAAGAGTCAAAGTAATGTTCTGCAATAGTTTTCCACATGGCGCTCAATAATTCCATTTTTGGACCTATGAAGGAAGTGGTATAATTTACTGCCGAACGCGTGACGAATGCGATCAAGTGGCGCATATGTTGAGCATGGTGCAGATCCGTTGTCTGGCTTACCATGCTGGCTTATCAAACAAGGTAGGAGTTTTATTGTTCATTTTGACCATAAAGCATGCCCTGATAATCGTCAGAGCTGTAGGTAGTTCTCCTCTTTTTCAAAATGTTGGACCGGCAGGATTATGAGCGAGATTAGAAGCTTTTTCCTTACCAGACATTTCAAAGTCTGCTAATTTCTACTTTAAGTGCAAGGGCATATTCAAAATACGGGTTCATTGCGTTATCAAATCTTGATTTTCAGTTGCGTGACGATGTCCAGAATCAGTGGATGAAGAACGAAGTTCCTGTGATAGCCGCTACAATAGCGTTCGGAATGGGTATTGATAAACCTGATGTGAGGTAAGCAAAAATAAAAGGATTTCCTGAGCTGATGGATTTCATCTCATGTTTGAACTGGTTTATGCAAGTGGTATTTAAGCAAGACATTGCTTCCCCTATGTAACGTTCTCCCACACAGGTTCGTTGTTCACTGGACATGTCCGCAAAATTTGGCCGCCTATTACCAAGAATCTGGAAGAGCAGGTCGAGATGGTCAACGAAGTTATTGTCGAATCTACTATAGCCTGTCCGATAAGGAGTTTCTTCATTTTCTGGTTAGAAGAGATCTAGCCATGCTCAAAGTGAGGACTTTCTTTTTTTTCTTTTGTTTACTTTTTTCTCCCGTGTGGCTCATCTGTGCAATTTTCCCATACCTTTTCTCGAAATGGTGTTTTTCATAATTTATTGATTCTTTTCAAGTTGAAAGTTTCACTTTAAGGGGAAGAAAATATCGGAAACTGCCAAGAAGCAGCAGACAACAGCAATACAACAAGGATTAGAGAAGATGGTTGACTACGCCGAAATGGCTCAGTAAGTCAGAATCGAATCCTCTTCTTTTGCTTTCCCGTTTGTAATCATCGTACGATAGTTTAGTTTAGTTATAGTTTTGACCTTTAGATGCCGCCATGTGTGCTTTGCGAAGTATTTCGGTGAAACCGACTTACCACCATGCCGAATGCATTGTGACTTTTGCAAAGATCAGAACGGCACAATCGCCAGAGCTTCCCAGTTTCAGGTTGTCGATTTTCTAGGTCTTATTTCATGACTTTTGTAAATTTTTTAATTACTCCGATTCATCATTAAAGGTGGGGGGGGGAATGTAATATAAAAAGAGATCACCCATATATCCTATGAATAACTCTTAGGACTTAATATTTAATCACGCCATTACATTCGATTATTTGAACTTTTTCGAAAGATTCAATTACTGCTAACGAAACGAAGTAGGTTACCACATCGTTTGGTTTGTAACGTAATGTTTTGCCGTTGAGATGTGCGGTTTTGAATGTTGCTACACTCTAGACTGCGTGCTCCTCTACCAAAATGATGAAAGCGTCGAAAGGAAACTTCGAAAGTGGTGACCTTTATGGTGGAGGCAAACGGTACGCTGCGTCTTTTCTCGTATGCGTAGATCGTTGACTGAACTTTACCCTATTTTACAAAGTTTGATTTGTTGTTTCCCTTGTAGGGCACATGATGATGACGACTATGGATGTAACAGCTCGGACGCTTGGGAGAGACTGGAGAAAGAAGAGGCGGCAAGAATGCGCGATGTTGTTCATAGCGAATTTGCGAAGCGTCGTAAGGTCAGCCTACTTCTTGAAGTGTTTCAATTTCCTTCGATACTTACGAAGTATACTGCAGATTGAGAGACAAAGAGAAGCAGATCTCAAAGAGGTTTACATTCCCAGCACCGAGTATCCAATCAAGGAACCCAAAGCTAAAACTATCCCGAATCTAGCGCCACAGGTACTGCTTGATGTTTTGGTACCGAGTTCTTCTTAAGCGAGCGCCGAAGGTCCAACAAGATCTAGTATGTCTTGCATATGGGGAATACAATAGGTTTCGGTTCTGGTTATCGCATTGATTTGACGATAGTCAACAGTGAATCTCCATTGGTCTTTATTGGCTCCTTTCCTAACTAGAACTATTGGGGATGCAAATTTACTGGTGCTTGGTTCTATTAAACGGGTTCTTAGCATTTCTTTGATTTGACGTTCTATTTCATTGCGTTTTTCCAATGGTACTCGGTACGGTCGCTGTTTTGGAACTTTTGAATGTGGAATAAAGTCAATGCTATGAGTGATTGGACCGTTGTAACGACCGAGATTACCATCATTTCCTACGAAACAATCTTGATATTTTTTCAACAATTTGTAAAACATTTGAAGTTGTGTGTTATTTAAAATACTATGATTAATTTGGGCGCGATTTTGAAGATCTATAGAATTGTCGTTATTGGGAAAGTGCGGCAGTGCTTTGGCAAAGTCAGCTTCTGGGGGGGATATATTCCGAGAATGCTTTGTCTTGCAAAACTTGGTTGTGAGAGCCCTCATTACTGTGTATACTGAGAATACTGGTTTCCATGGCATTTTTACTCCCACAAAAGCTGCTATTGCCACTGCTTTATTTTTGGGCAGTGTAATACTGGCATGGTTCGAATTGAATATACGTAAGTAGACATTTCCATCCACTTCTGGACAAGAAAGGGTTTTTCCCACTTGAACTCCCTTTGGTAGATCATGTAGTGGATAGTCTGAAGAAAATAGCTCCCAATTATGTGGAAATGAGGTTTTGGTGGTGCCTATAACCATGTTGTCAGAAAGTGGTTGTAGGATGGTTGTATCCACCAAGTAGACTTGAAGGGGTGGGAAGTTGAAATGGGTGGGTGTGATTGATAGTTGTGAATGGAATAGTAACATTGTCGAACGAAACTGTGTTAGATCGGTAATTTACGGACATTGTTGTTGCAAATTGTTGAATGACGTCGTTGCCAGGAGGATGAATGGTGAAGAACAATTAGTTTCCGAAGCGACATAGCAGGTAATCTGCATACTTTTCTTCCCAATAGTAAGATATGGAGTAAATTGGCCAAGAAGGTTCATGCTAGATCCGTTCGCTGTGATGCCTTTTATAATTGTAGAGTGGGAAAGCTGTGCGTTGAGTTTCCGAGCTACAGCATCAGAGACGATTGTGAGGGCGGATCCTGTGTCTAGAAGAGCTACAATCGATGAATTGTTAAGTTTTGCTGGAACATAGATCATTTGGTTAGTTTTTCCAAGATGAATGGAAGAGACACCTGGAAAAAAGTTGAGAACTGGCTGTGGTTTACTCGAGTAGGGTTTGGTAGGCTGTGCTAATGGTAACTTGATTTTGGAAGCTGATGGTAGCTGAGGGTTGATGAACAGTTGCAATAGATGATGATGGCAAATTCACTGGGGAGCGCCTTAAATTAGCTAGCGGGAATAGATTCACGTTCTGGCTCGCTGCTGATTATGCTGTAATCCTGACTTCTTCGTTGTTGCTTCGTGGTTGTGCCTTGAGAAGAACTTTTGTTGCAGAGTGATGCGAGAAGAAGCGAGAATACAGTGGCTATGCCTTTGAAGAGAAAGTTCAAAGGTATCCGTACCAAAGATGTTTGACAATACAGAATCGTGATTGCGCTCACAAAGATGAGGCAAATGGAAACGAGAACGATTGCTTTGACGAGACGGTGCAAGCCGAAAGATTCGAGGACTTTTTCCTTTTGTGACTGAAGAAAGTCGCCTGCATTGGATTCTAAAAATGCCGCTGTGTCCGCCAGTTCGTGCCCTAGTTGATTTGGAATTACTTCAGCTTCGTTAGTTGATTTTGATCGTGGAGCGTATAAATTATTTATAGAGTTGAGGCGATTTTGGATAAGATATAAATTAGTCGTTATTCTCGCTAGGTCCGAATGAAATATTGGTGGGAGAATTGAAAATAAAGTTTTCCTGAGCTAAATTGTTAGGTAAGTTGAGATGAATATTTGTCACCTGTGCGTAACCCGATGGAGATTTGTAGTGATTGTTCCCATCATTGTAAATGCCAAATGGTAAATGCCCACAGTCCGCTTGCGGACTGAACTTAACAAGATCCCTTGTACCTGGTTGGATGAAGTAAAATATTTTCCCAGATCTGACTGGTGTAAAGATATAACATGTTCCTTTTACGTTGTGATCAAAAATAATTTCATCAACAACGATTTCTCTGCATTTTGAGACCATTTAGAACATCTCCTGCCGATAAAGCAATGTACATCTTCTCGATTCAAAAGAATGCGGGCCGCAGCAGTTGGATTAATTCGGGCAATGCTTTTAATTGAATGAACTTTGAAATTCATAAGAGAGCAAATTTTATCTAATAAATAGTTAAAATCTTGTCTTATTATTTCATCCATTTTGATTTTGAGGAACTGCATTTTTGTATTGAGTTCGGCATGACGGTTGTCTTGACCGTTGCTCATGGTCGAGCGTTTCCAATCATTATTCATTACCGTAAAATCGGGTTCTGAATTCATTGCAAGATGGTGAGCTATTCGTCTTGAAGTATTGGACGGAATAGTATTAATATAAGCTTTCGTGAACGCTAACACTTGAATCTTTGATCTTGGCTAATATTGTGCTGAGCGATTTATAGTTATCTGACGTTATTGCAGCTAGCCTTTTTACTACGTGATAGTGGTACTTCCAGGCGAATTTTTTCGCTATTGGAAGATCTTTTTTGTATGACATGGATGAATTTATGAAGAAGAGGTAAATTAAATTGTGGTTCTAATTGGGACGTTCTGTCCGTATTAAGTATAAATTCACCTTCATTGAGTAGGGTGTTTTGCTCTGGGGTTTCTTGAAGATTTGCTGAAGAGCTCTGATTTTGAGCTGACTGAGTGACTGTAGTCACCAGTTGCAGAAGTTTTGAGTTGAAGAAATGTTTCTGATTGATATTATCGACTACTTTGGGATGTTCCGAAAATATGGTACGAGGATTGTAGTCCTTCAATTCTGGCAGAATAATGAAAACGCCATTATCCATCGGTATCGCGGATTTATTTAGACACCAAACGTTAAGTTGTGCATGCGAAAATGTTACGTTTTTATACGTAAATGCTGATTGAATATTATTTAATACTATATGGGTAGGAGTCACATATGCGACTCCTTCGGTAGCTTTTACGTACCGACATATTGATGTTGATGGAGGTTGTGCCCAAATAACGGTGCCATGTGAAAGGCTACATTGATTTTTCTCAATGTTGCAATGTGCCATGTTTCCAAATTGGCCTATTAAATGATTACCATCAAAAGTAGCAATTGTACCCTTTTCAAAATATACGTTAGTAGTGACGGTACACTTTTCTCCAAAAAACCATGGATACGAATACTGGATTTGATTATCCGATCCATATACATTTGCAGAAAGCTTTTCCAAGGGAAATTCAAGATACTTTTTGGTTTGCGTTAAAGACTCGCAGAGAGTAGGATCTATAGGAGTCATGAATTCCTCATCGCTATTGACTGAGAATGAAACATGTAAATATGATGACGTGCAAATTTTCCTAGTTTTATTGAAACAATGATATGCCTGCAAAAGTAATGGTTCTGTTCGCTCAACATAAAGGTCAGCTCCAGTAATCAAAACTTGTGAAGCATTAGGAGAACTTGTGCATGTTACAGGATCAGGATAGGCAATTGGCCAGCCTGATTTACCTGCTGAACAGAGCTGATATTTAAGTGAAAAAGCAGAGGTAGGAGCTATCAGTATACTTACAATAGCCACTATAAATAGTGAAGTTGTAGGTTTTAATATAGTTCTAGGACTGCTTGCAGTTATAGAATTGATTGGAAAATGAGATGAAGAGTTTGAACGTTGACGGAATGGAGAACGTGGGCGACGGTTTTGGAAATTTTGTCTACGAGATGGCGAGTTTGGGCGGCGAAATGGGGAGGTTTGGCGACGATATTGGGGATTTTGGCGTCTATATGGACGTTCTTGATCCCTGTTGTAGGTTTGGTTAGGTGAACGATTTTGGAAAACAGGTGTTCGCGCTCTTTCATTCCTATACTGTGTATTAGGAGCAAACCTTACATTATTACGCGAAGGGCTTCGAAAACGCGGATTAAATTGGTTACGAGGATTGTTGAAATTGTTATATTGATTGGGTCGAGCATTAAGATAATAGTTACGGTTCGGGTTACGGAAATACGATGTAGAAGGCGCAGGAGATCTATTGGAAACTATTGTATCAATTGCTCTATCAATTTTTGCTATAAGCATATCTTCTTCTGGAACAGGATTCGCTTTGCTTATATCATACATGCGTCCCGCGTCTCGCAATAGGGTTTCGAAGTTGCTAATAAAAAATAATATAAAGTTAAGCTTTTCCTTTAATTTTATTAGTGGGCAAACCATTTGTGAATACATATGTGGTAGAATTTGCGTTTGCCTCCTGTGGATTTATCGTGGGATATGCGTCCAAAAACCTCTTCCTATATTCTATTTTGCGAAAAAAACCACAGGTGCTTCGCCTTAGTCCATCTCATGTAATCGCGAGCCATATTAGAATTATCAGGGAAAAGTGTTTCTTGTAGTGGTTATTGCTGCTCGCCAGTCTGTTTTATAGATTGTCGATTATACATGGCCTCGCGGATCCTTTGAGGTTGGGCTGAAGAGAGACGTGGCATTTGGTTCGCGTCAAGCCCATGTAACTAAATAGAAATTACCATGATTTTCCCCCTATCCTGGCTCTCCTGTAAAAGAATAGGAGTTTATAGCAATACGAGGATATATGCAATAGCGTTTCGAACGCAGATTCTAAATTATTTTCGGCTACGGGATTAGCTTCCATTGGAATGTGAACGGGTACGATGATGTTCTGATGAGGTGGCGGAAAAATGTGCTGAATGAAATCGCCAAGACTTTCAGTTGGTGCTTGGACGTGCTGGTTTTGCGAGTTATTGGCTACTGGGTTTTCCAATGGAAGATCCGCAATAGGCTCGTTCGATGGTTGTGGAGTAGGAGTACGCAACGTATTGAGTGATGAATAAGAGGATTAATGTAAGAGATTAACGCAGTGTTCACGGATGAATAAGCAGAGTTATCGCCGAAGGTAGGGATTTGGCGAAGCGACTATGTCTGCGATTTTTTTATTTTTTTTTTATTTTTTTTTTTTATCGGAGGAATCCGAATTTTCTATTGTATTTGGTGGTTGAGGAGGAGTTGTGAATTCAGTTTTGACTCTAAGCTTCTTTTTGTCTGGAGTGGTGGAAGGGCGGACTCTAGTTCGTCGTTTGACTGAGTATCTACCTTCAGCTAATCTATGTATTGGTCGTCCGTCCGAATCTGTTAGAATTTCGGAACCGGAACTGCTCATAAGACGAGAAATCTATACTATGATAATTGGGTAACTGATGCTTGGATATACTATACTTTGAATATAATATTATTTTTTTTTGATTTTATTTTGAACTGTTTGAAAGAATGAGAAAAGAAAACTTCAGTGCGAGTAATAAATGAATTTGAAAAGAAAGAAAAGGAAAGGAAATCAATCAGTAGTGAGATGGACTCACTGGTCTCCGAGTGGGTTGAAGCTGAGAAGGTGTTGTATTGCGGCTTGGGTGGAGTTGGTCCTTGAAGGTGAGTTGAGTCGGGAGTAGGGGAGTAAGGGTCGACCAGTCCAGGTGGAGATGGTTGGTATTAATGAGCTTGGGTGGGAGTCCCGATGCTTATCAGTGTGCTTCTCCAGAAGCTCCTCCTACCAGAAGCTGTTGACCCTTTTCTAGAGGTTATCAGTGTGCTAACACTGATATTTCCCATCAGAATCTATATGGCATACTGTACATTTACGATGCCAAGACCTCATTCTCACCCGTCGTAAAAGGAAGGGGTTAGAAGGTCAAGAAAGAACTTTCCCGTTCATCATTTGTGCGCATTTCTCCTCGTAAGGGGAGAAATCGCGATGAAACAGGGAAATTTCGCATAATTTGGGCATGGGATCTGATTTGCGGCTGGCAGAGGCAATCACATACTATCTGACGAGGTCGGGGCAGCGAAATTCCTCTTAATTTTGGGGAATGCAAAAAAAATTGGGAAGAAGGGAACGATTTTCCAAGAGAAAATCGTATTTTGCTAGGTTTCGGATGGCCTGGAATGGTTTCGCCGTCGCTTAGGGATGAAAATCCCAAATTCATAGGACAATGGCTGAAAAATGAATTTTTATGATTTGGCTGAGGCCATTTCGATATCCCTAGTGTTTCACCAATTGAATGCGATTTTGTCTTACTAATCCTTGCTGAATTATATCAAAATTTGAAGACTTGAAATGTTTTTTAAGATAATCATTGATTTGGAGTGTGATTTTCTGATATAAGGCCTTTTTGCATTTAAATTGTGATAAGCAATGAGAAATAACTTAATTTAGCTCACCTGCTTGCTCGTGAGAGGCAAAAGATGATAATTGGAGAGAAGGGTAGGTTGGATTGGGGTCAGCCGTGTAGTATATTATGGTTGAAAGTAAGTAGTTGATTGAAAGGTCCACAATTCTAGATGCTTTGTTTTCTTAATCGGCTATCAATACCGATTTACCTATTTCGTTCAGTAGTTACAGAAAATGCTATGGGTATCCCCAAAGTGTGCGCCATGCGCCTGAATTCGTTTTAAGTTTGCCAAGCCGTTTGGAAGGTATAATGTCTGCTGAGAAAAATCTTTTTTGAATGAAATGGCGACATGATTGGTTTTTCTCACTGCTAAAGAATGCGCCATGCCTTGTCAACCCTCCAGGACATTTTTAACTCGATGGATTCCATTGTCCAAAAAATTTTATTTCCATGTGCTCGATAACTTTTCCTAAGAATAAGGTACTACTTCCCATGCGCAGTTGTATGTTTCTTCTTATGTTCGTTTGTAAAGGGTATGGTTGTTTGCTGATGTTAACCGTCTAACAAGGGTATCAATGACCTAGGGTAGAAAAAGTGCTATCAATGGCCCTCCTGGGAGGTTGTTTTGGAGGATCGTCGTCCATCGTTCGATAAGCCATTTCTAGGTTCTTACCGAGCATAAGGTGGTCATATGCCAATTTCTTTATATGTGTCATATATGTCTCCCTTTTTTTTCATCCTACCATTCACTTCATATTGAAAGCTCTGTTTCTGGTCCAAATGAGTTGCGGGAAGATTTAAACTTCGAAAGAGATTTTGTTTTCAGGAAAACACTATGCAAAACCAAAACGCAAACGAGGTTCGCCGTGTGAGGTTTCGTTCTCCAGTCGAAGAGAATCGCGTGCCTGAACGCGCGCCTTCGCCAGTGGAACGCAGCTCAAGTCCGGAATCGGACGAAGAGGTATGTTTGCTTCTACGCTTCTTTTTTTTTATGTCTTCATGAATTGTGTTTCACACTACCTCTTATTTTCCAGTCTGTGTGCCCTTGTCGTGAAGAGTTTCGGATTCTTCGCGCAACAGAAGTGCACATAATGTACCGGAAGGACGAGGCTGAGGAATTGATTCAAGAGTTGAAAATATGCGTCGGTCTTACAATACCGACGTGTTCGAGCGGAGAACTTATTGTTGGAGAACTCTTACAATAGTATGAAACTCAAGGCAGAGGTAACTATCTTTTGTTTTTGTATTTATGACATAGATTGATTGTTGTATTTTAGAGGGAGGCGAATGTTCGAGAGGAGCATTCGCGACTGAAATTAGGGATTTGCATAGGGATCCCCGCTTTTACAAGGAGACCAGAAGAATAATGTTTTTATGTTTTCGTGCTAGGAATAAAAGTTTTTTTTTATTGGTGTATTATTTGCCAAATAAGCGTTTGCTTACGCCTTTTTATTTTCCTACAATTACCTAGTGTGTGTGATGGATTTTAAATAGCCTTTTTTTTTAACTAGAAGTCACAATGAACACAAATGGATCCGGAGATGGTTTTTGGGAGGGCCTGACACAGCGACTAGCTGTAAGTTTCTTTTGAACATTTCTTCTTTTATTTGTTGATGAAAAATGGAGTCTTTTTCAGCCTGCGCGAGGAGACTGCTGTGGCGACTCTGCTCAGAGGCTACAAAACGCCTTAATAGAGAAGAAAATCGCGGACCAATGGGTCGCTGAACTTAAGTGGCTCATCCACACTGAAAGGGAGGCGAACAATATTTACTCGATGGAGTTGCACAGAAAATACGAGGACAATTGTGCCACAATTCGAAGAATTGATGAGGTCAGTTTTTTTTTATATTCTCTTATTTTGTGATTTTGATTGAGCTATTTCTTAATGGTGTCGGTGTTCCAGAGGTGTCAAAATCTGGTGCGAGAAATAGGATGGATGCTGGAATGGATCGAGATACCCATCCGCAACGCCAGGAATCCTACTGAGTAATGTTCTTCGATACAGTAGGATAGAACAGTTTATTGTTAAATTTTTTTTCGTAAAAAAATTTACTGTTGTATGTATATTTGATTTGTTTGAAATAAAAGTTAGTAAGTATTTCTACCGTTTATCTCGTTTATCAGGATATTGGAATCAGATCAATGGATCTTGGAGCGCAATGTGAATTCTTTTGGTATGCGCCATGTACTAATTTGACCTTGCATTTTTTTCCTATGGTTGGAAGGTCATGACGCTTTAACTTTATAAGCTTTAATATGATTCATACAGATAGTGCAAGGTGTCTGTCCTAGGTGATGTAAAAAAGGTTTTCATTGGGGTTTGTGCGAAAAATACTGTATTGCTTCACGTTGCAATATCTATTAAGGGGAGAAGAGCAAATATGCGCTTCTGCACGACTTTATCATGCTGTAGTGCCCTATTATTGGGTCAGCAGATTTTATGGTCTGTGCGAGGAGGTCATGCGGCTTACTATTGCGCATGGTAGCCCTAAAATCGGTCAGCGGCTTGTTTGTCCGCACACTGCGATGTTATAACCATTTAGGGAATTTAGGGAGGGGGGGGGTTTGAGAGTAGCTAGTTCTCATTTTGAGGTACCCACAGTAGCAAACTGGACTTTTCAGAGTGTGCCAGTGCACTGTTAACTATTTAAGTCGACTATGGCGAGCGAGTCCTTTCATTAGAAAATATTTTGAACGGCAATAAACGGGTTTTTTTTTAATCTATATCAACTTCTACTCATACTATTGGAGTAGGAATCACTTGCTAATCCCCTCTATACTCGACGTATGTGGATTCTATAAATGTAATATAATATTATTGTGGGTAATTTTGAAAAGAGGATCTCGTCGCCAGGACCGTAATATTTGAATATAACGCAGCGTTACGCATGCGAATTTTTAATCCAAAACATAATCAGTGCGCAATTTTACCCATATCATAGAAGAGGGGGAAGAGCGTCCTCTTCTCTCCTGCCTTTTTTCCCCAGGTTTGGAACCTGTTTTTTTTTTGATTTTTTTTAAATGATAATAAGAAAGAGTTAATAAAAAAATGTGTACCTGTATTACAGTTGGTCGTCTTGTTTGTTGTTCCAGAGCGTCATCTTTTTTGATGCTAGAAAATAGTAAGTCGAGAGGTTAAAAAAGGGGGGAAATAGGGAGGGATTGTTCTAAGATGAAAAGATGTGACCCATGATGAATTTGGTACCATTACTTGTAAAAAAAAAAATTTGAAAGCTTTATTCCCCAAAGAATCTTCCCGGGACCTCCATATCGGATTAAAGGTTGGCCGGCCTCTAACCGAAGGGTGTAGCGGTGTATTACTATTACATAACAGAATACTTATTTAATTTAATATTTATACTTCAATATATGAGACATGAGAAAGGGGGAAAGGGTGAAGGGAAGGAGTGAGTGGAGCCAGACGACTGCTTCCAACTGCCGTTATCAGCTCGCCACTCTTCGGCGCGACGCCTCCATCCTAGGCGGGTCCACCAGGGGTGGCCATTAAGCGTGACAAGAACATGTGCACTGACAACCAGTATACTCGTTCAACGGCGAAATCCTTAGTGTGGCCATCCGATAAAAAGCTCAACGACGGAAAGAAATCTTCAGCAAAGAAGAGCTGGGATTTTCTTATGGTGAGCGGGAGTTCTTAAGTTCGTACTATAAGGCACAATCGTAGTCGGTCGTTCAACTGTAGCGATTGTAACGATCACCCAGCATTAGATACATATCGAGGGTGGTCTGATCGATATGTAACTAATGCTTGCGATCGTTACGACCGGACGACTGACTATGTCTACGCCTATACCTGAACAAGAAGTTCATCTCGCACAGAGGTTGTATAGACTAGGAACTCGGGCAAAGACCATCGTTTCTCTACTGCGTTCTGCTTTTTCTGATTTGAAGCTGTGCGAGAAGTCATTTGCTCTCTTCTCTATAAAATTAACCCATTAGGTGATGGTGTACATCTCCCAGAGATGCCGTGATTACATAGAGTTTCAGAAAATGTGATGTTCGTTTCCGGCTGTTAATTGCAGATTAGCAGTCTTCCTTTCAGAAACCATCAACATCAAATGGTAAGTCCAACAAGAAGTCGAGTTCACCTCCCGAAACAAGTAACGAGAATGGTTCCGCCTCAAAAGATGATTCTGAAAAGAAGGGTAAAGGTGT